AGTGTCACTGGCCCTCATATGTGGGATCCGAACCGGGGCCCTCTGGCATCCCAAGCGAGTTCTTAACCATTGCGCCACTCGGCCGGCCCATATAAAGGAAATTCTTAATTTCATATTTTATCTTGCAGGTGAAGGCAATGAAGAGATTAGTAATATGATTCACAGTTATATCAAAGAAATCGAAGATCTCAGGTACAGTTCATGTTCTGTAATATATAATCCACATTTGGGGTTTTGCAATGTAGTAATATTGCTATTTGTTGGGCTTATTGTTTAGTCACTGTTCACAGTGATATTTCAGCCCTTTGGTCAGGTTAACTTTAGGGGACTAGGTACTTGCCTTTCCATAATGTCACATTCCAAACAACTTTCCTCCCCTCTCATCCCATCTTCTCCTCCTCTTGTGATTCCCCTCAGTGGGAGCTTACCTAACCTGACATGTAGGACAGGCATGCTTGAGGTTGATGAAGTTACTTTTGGTGCCTTCCCTCTCTGTGCCTCTTCCCTCACCATTTGGGAACGGCCAGCATCAATAAGTCATCTCTAATTGTTTAAATTTCCCCTTACTCCTGTTCCCTTCTACTTCCCCAGCTATTCCTTATGTGGGAATCGTTGCATCCCTCTCAGTTTACCTGCCTCTCTGGTACATACAGAAGCTCATTCATCACTCACATTTCATACACATACTATACATGATCACTATATGCCAAGCACCGTGCCACGGACTGAGCAAGTAAGACATAAACAAGGAGTTCACAGGCTAGGTGGGGCGGCTTACATAAATAGGCACATGTAGTACATGGAATGACAGAAGTTAGTAAAAGAAATGCCATCTCCTGGTGTGGGAATGTAGAGGGGACCCCGGAACCTAGACTAGGGGAATAGGGGTCAGACAGAAGGTCAGAGACTCTAATCATTTCTACAGTCTTTTTAGGTTCCATGGTTTGCCCTGATGGCTCAGCTACTTTCTCTTGCAGTAAAACTACAGTCAGCTCCATGGGGAGCATCTAAGTAGCTCAGATTTTATTTCTGCTTCCCATTTGCTGAAAATAACCAAGCAGGAGATCATTTTTCATAGCTACCCTAACTCTTCCCCATCTTGTATTTGTGTTCTCTCTTCCTCTGGCTATCCTAGAGAGTCTCAAACAGAGACGACTGATGTGTCCACTGTTTCTGCCTCCACAAGGCACACTGCATCCCTTAAGTGTTTCAAAAAGTAAAAGCAAATGAGAAGACATCTGATCTGGCAATAGTAGAGTTACTCTAATAACTGTTACTGTTATTCTGTGTGTATATATATATATATATATATATATATATATATATATATATATATATATATGTACACACACACACACACACACACACACACACATATATCCAGGTTTTACCTTTGGGGCCTTGGACCCTGGTTCTGGTCAGCAGCCAACCTGGACTTGCATTCCTATCCTGTGTTGGCGGTGCTTTTTCTTGCCTACTGCCCCAAACTTGCCTTTCTTTACTCTGTAAACCCCATTTTTACCATTCCTTGAGACACAGCTGATATCTGTCTTTTCCTTCTCTTAGCTTGCTTCTCTTTTATTTCCTTGGCACTGGTCAATTGTTAAAGCTGATTCCATGCTCTGGTTATTGTGCTCAGTTTCATCTCTTCCACCCTGTTCCTCTAAGGCCTTATTTAAGCTTGAGTTCACCATTGGACAAAACAGTGTCACAAGTGTTATTATTTCCTAGAAAACTGACTGAATCATTTCCATTCCTCCTAGTGACTGACAGTAGCACCTAGTATCTTTCTCTTTCAAGTTCTTAAGACCATTCTTTAAGCTGTTTAGAGAACAGAGATGACTCAGGCCCTGAGCTGAATCATTGATCAAATCTTTCCTGGTATAGATTAATAGCTTGTTCCACGTTCCCAACTTTTCTTTGATGGTTCTTTAATTAGGGGTGTCCTGCTCCTGAGGTGTGGTCTTCTAGAACCCTAGCACTGTAATATACAATGCAAAATAATTTGCATATAGAATAAGCATAAATGAGCTTTGAATTTAAATTAGATTATCTGGATTGAAATTTATCTATTAATAAATGGGTGACGTTGGGCAAGTTACCTAATATCTTCAAGCTTTAGAGCAGCGGTTCTCAACCTGTGGGTCGCGAGCCCTTTGGGGGTCGAACGACCNGGCAAGTTCTTCTCCTCCCCCACCCCCATTTGTGGTGGGTTAATATGGTGCATGACTCTTCTCAGCTTGCCCTGTTCCTGACTTACTGTGGGAGTTCAAAAACAGTTGAATTGGTCAAGATTCAATGAGATGAGTTCACTGATTACAGTAAGCTCAAATGTTGCAAAAGCTTAAAATGCTTACTTTCAATTTCCATACTTATTATGAACTGGTAACAAATAGTTTGCAGACTGGCACTGGACTAGGAACTACACTTTGAGTAGGCCTGTTCTTTAATCAGTCTCTATGATCATCACCCTCACTGGAGTACCTTATCTTCTTCATCAAAAGAGAAAGCTAGAGATGCATGAATCACCTTAACTGTCTGACCTCCAAAAAATAATTGCTGCATACACATGACACACACCACAAACAATTATTAATGACCTAGTATGTTCCAAATATTGTGTTATACAAAGTATACTGGTAAACAAAACTTGATGATTCTTGAAGTTTAGGATCTAAGAGTTGGGGTCTATAAAATTTCAAAATTAATAATTATAATAATAATATAATCAACAATAAAGAGATATGCAAAGAGTATGTGAAAGCAGAGAGAAAGAGTACAACCCAACTGTGGGCTGGATTCTTAGACTAGATCATACCTGAGTTGAATCTTGAGTAATAGTAAGAGTAAGGGTAAATAAGGATGAGCAGCAGATGATAAAGGTAAAAGGATGGGTGGAATGGGACCCCTTTTAAAAGGGTTACTATGAGTGGTATGTTGTGATTATTGGGGGAAGGCAGGAGCTGGAAGCAGGAGAGTACGGAGAATATAGATTAGAATTCACAGACATGAATTTCCTACCTGGGTGTAAATTACCTCTTTAATTGCAGTTCTATACATTTTCCAGTTAGTGTGTAAATGCCAATAAGAATCTCCTTTGTCTGTTTCACTGGCAGACATAATAGCTGCAGCATGCTAAGCATTTCATTACCCTTTTTTTTTGGTTGGTATAAAGTAGTGTTTCCCATTTTTTCCTATGTAATCTGGGCAGAAATCCTGGAACTTTGACCACTCAATCACAAATGATGTTTTGTATTATAAAACATATGGATATACTGAGTATTCTTCTTTTTCAACTGATAGGATTTAGTGCAAGATTTTTTGCTGACAACAAAAATCAGGATACAAGTGATTAAATAAAATAAAATTAAATCCTGAAATGTTCAGTAGGTAATGAAACAAATGATTTTTGAATTTCAATTTGTCATATTATAGATAGATTAAATTTTAGAATTTTGTGTCAGTTTTTTTTGTCAAGGGGTGAGAAATAAATGTATTCACTTGTACTTTCTTAAGGTCTTATGGGTCAGAGAAGGATAATATAAATTTATTTTCCCTAAGCAAACAAAATCTTTTTCCTTAACATAGTCTTCAAGCGTGGGGGCTTTTAAATTTCTTTTATTTTTAAGCTAGCGGTATTAATCTTTTGGTATCTTGAAGAGAAGATTTGATTCAAAGGGCAGGAATTTAAAAAGGATGACTTCATTGTTTTATTTGCTTTTATCTGTCAACCTAATTATTCTCTGTAACTTTCAGCCAAACAATCATGATAGCATGTGTCAGCCCTTCAGACAGAGATTTTATGGAAACTTTAAATACTCTGAAATATGCCAATCGAGCTAGAAATATCAAGAACAAGGTGATGGTCAATCAGGACAGAGCTAGTCAGCAAATCAATGCCCTCCGCAGTGAGATCACACGACTGCAGATGGAGCTCATGGAGTACAAAACAGTAAGTGCGTGGCTTTGGCTTTGCATTTTGTGGTACATTTTGTGAACACAATGATGCCCTTCTGTGATGGCTTACACATGTATGTCTCTGGGTCTAGTCTCTTGTCTGTCATGATAGTGACCTCTTTTCCTCTGAAGGTAGAATTCCCTAATTTTCCTGTGGGTAGCCTTTAATAACGTTCAGTCTATCCACCTGACCAAGTGTCTATTTCAAAAGGCTTCCTACCCAATCAATTTCTTTAGTGAAAAACGCACCACAGAGGGATGTAGAGGGAAAAGAACCTCTTTTGCCTTGACACTTAAAACAAAAGGGCTCTTGGATGCAGAACTGCATAATACCCTAATATCCTTAAGTGAATCTTTTGTGTGTTTAAGATTACCTCAACCAACAGGGAAATATCTTCCTTTTCTAGGGTAAAAGAATAATTGATGAGGAGGGTGTGGAAAGCATCAATGACATGTTTCATGAGAATGCTATGCTACAGACTGAAAATAATAACCTGCGTGTAAGAATTAAAGCCATGCAAGAGACGGTTGATGCGTTGAGGACCAGAATCACACAGCTTGTTAGCGATCAGGCCAACCAAGTTCTTGCCAGAGCAGGTATGCGTGTAAGGTGGGGCCGGTGAGGGATTAACTTCCAGAGGGCGGGAGACATTCTTTTTTTTTTTTTTTTTAAGCTGAGCCATCCTGCTACCTGTTGGCAGCTCAGCGGCTGCTCAGCTCGGGCTGGACTCGAACCGCTGTTGCNATGTGCAGAAAAAAAATATATAGAAGAAATGATTTTAAAAATTCTACCTTTAAAAATATTTTATCGAAATCAACGTTTAATATTTGCTGTTTCACGGGGTGACCTACAAGATAGCTTTTTTTACTAATATTTTATGACAGTCACTTTATTTTGGGAATTATAATCAATCCTTTCAGTAGATTGTTTCAAAATGAGAGCTTTTCTAGATTATATTAAGAATTAACTTTAATACCATGCCATCTAGTGGTGTTTTTGATTGGAAAACGCCTTGTGTTTGTTAGCCTAAAGCTTCTGTTATATGGAAGAAAATGTTTTAGAGTAAATTTATGTTGAATAAAACTTTTCTTCTTATTGACCTTATTATAAAATTGGACATTTGTTCCTGCATAAAGCTAACGACATCCCTAAACTTCTGTGATGCTGACAGCATCAGGGCATGTTTTCAACTTTGCTTCCCTCCCTCCCATCCCAGAGCCAGGGCTCCAATCAGATGTTCCTATTGTGTTGTTGCCCACTATTTGCTCCTCTTATGATCACAACTAAGGCTGTTTAGAGAAAGCCAGACATCCTAACTCCAATACCCATCGTATTGCTCCCATCATACAGTTGAATTCTGTGTTACAGGAAGTGACCTGGAGCCTGGACTTTGTGTATTGTTCTTAATTTCTTAGGAGATAAAATCATGGTGGTATTTACATTTGTGCTGTTAGGAAAAGACAAAAGCCATGTGTCTGTTTCGGTGTGGCCAGTGGTGGTTACAACTGTAGCCTCTTTGGAAGAGGGGGATGAAGACATAATGGGATGCTGACGCCACTCTTTGCATGACCCATTGGCCTGCACAAAGACATGGCTATAGGTGTTTGTATTACTGAAGGGAGGTGTGACCAACATTTAGGATAATGCTTATGCTGTAGGTGCTAGTTCAGTGACAGAAAAACGGTGGCAGGAGGAGAGACTGAAGAGTTCTGTAATTTGATTTAGTTTCTTCAATATTGGATGCTTAGCACATAGAGTCATTGTTTTTCTAAAGACAGCTTTACTTGTTCAGAGAAATCATATTGACATTTTTATTTTGGTTAAAGCAGATTTTGTTTTCCCACAAGGGAGTTATATTACAACAAGAAAGTGTCATGAAACTGCTAAACTACCTAAACATTTCATTTCTTCATTGAGTTGAGGGAACAATTTGCAACATCCACTGACAATTTTCTGGGAACAACCTGATGCTCTGATAATTCTAGGGACGGTTAAAAGTTGCCAATCTTATTTCTATTTCTAAAGAAAATCTCTGAGTAGAAGTATTTGTGAATTTTGAATATATATATAAAACTAAATTTAGAGTCAGTTTTTAGTCAAATTTTTTGTCAGTTTTTGTAGTTAATAGAAAACTTTGAAGTTTACTTAATAAATGTAAGAAATATAATATATAAATATAAGTGTAAGAAAAACAAATCTTTTCAGTTCTGTCATGTCTCTGTATTATTCTCTATAAGCCTTTATTATTTAAAAGTATTATAATTAGTAAATTGTTATGATTTTCCTTTTTCTCTCTCTTTTAGTTGGCACTTGGCAATGTAATAAGTGCATTGGGAGACAAGAGTAAGAGGGCCACGCATGTCCCCTATAGAGATTCTAAGCTGACAAGACTGCTACAGGATTCCCTTGGGGGTAATAGGTACGCATACATTATTATTCTCCATAGTACTGAATTCCAATTATTCATTATTTTTAAACTTTGTAAAGTGATTTATAAGAACTGTGCTTATTCTAGGGCAAATTAGTAGGACAAGGAATTAATAATTATTAAGTACATAAAATGTCTGAGTCCTTTGGTATGTTGTTCTTTTACGTAATCCTCATAACATCCCTTGAGGCAGATGTTATTATTCCTACTTTATAGGTAAGGAAATTGAAATCCAGAGAGGTTAAGTAATTTACTCTAAGTCACTTAGCTAGTAAATGAAGTCCATAGCATGTGCTTTTTCTACTTTATCATAGTTTCTGCTTAAGTGCTTGGCATATAACATATGCCTAATAAAATTTTGTTGAAAAATAAATGCTGTCTTCTAAATAAATATAAAGTAATTTAAATATATTTGATACCGTTTTACAAATCTCCTAAAACTTAAACATTTTTTTTACATGTGGAAGAACTTCTTTTAAATGTCAATTAAATGAATATAGAGTATTTGGTGGTTATTAACTTTGCCAATTTCACTGATATTTCTCCTTTTTCATAACTTTGAATTATCCTGATCATCAGCTAAAAATATTCTTTTGTAATGCATTCCTTTTTATAAACATCAACATGTTGGCTTTATAAGTGGAAACATTTTTGGCATTTAAATTGAATCGTAGCACAAATCAACAAGTTGCAAACAACTATTACATTTTTATTGATTTTATTACAGTTAATATAATCTATTTTACAGTGTTTTCAATGGTCTAACATCATGTATACTGAAAAGATGTAAAATGATCTGGTAATT